AGAATAGAATAGAATAGAATAGAATAGAATTCTTTATTGGCCACGTGCGATTGGACACACAAGGAATTTGTCTTTGGTGCAAATGTTCTCAGTGTACATATGTCGTCCTTCTTATTAACTTAACCATCCAGTTGCCTCTTGGAAAAGCACCTTTGGGACACCCAGTTGACCTGGGTGGCTGAAAGTCTCCATAGAGTTCAGTATACCAAGGACATCCAGTTGTAGCTTTGCACTCTGGGCCAACCAAAGGAGGCCTCCCACGTTTTGTGCCTGGAGATTGTGGTGGTCTGGATGGGGAGGAACAGGTTGAGGACGGACCCTTAACAGGACCAAGAGGTTTTAAGAACTGCCCAAATCTGGGGATCTTTCCTCATTGATTCCGGGTGGGGCAGCACTTCTTCAGAAGGGAAGGGACAAACAACCGGAGGGCTACTTTGTGAGCTTAGATGTATTTATAATAAATATTATTTATAGTAAACAAACAAATGAAATCATTGTGCAAAGGGAAGGGGGCTTAAGGGGAGATGCATTTCGCCCAGCTTCCAATAGCAACCCTGGCATCTCTCTCTCGGGCTAAACCCACAGTGAACGTGACCAGAGGGATCTGATCTCCACTTCGGTGCCAGTGCAAACAGGTTGAGTGGGTTAATGATTAGAGGCTGCACTGAGGATGCAGTTGAATCAGGCTTCGCAGAACTGGTGCGGTGGATAAACTCCGCGGCAGGAGCCCTCAGAGCACCAGAAAGGGAAGAGAGGCGGAGGGTTATTTGCTAGAATTAGGGTGGCTGGGAGAGGTAATTCTGGTGGTTGAGTTTCAGTGGGGCTTTTAATCATGGCTAACCATGGACGGATGCACCCTCCCTCCTCCCTCCTCTGACAGTCGGTGTGCGCGAGGCTTTTTTCTCTCTTAATTGTTTCAAAGAGACCTGTAAAACTCGCTGGGCAAGGAATGGCGCCAAGAAACACAACTCTGGAGATCCCAGTGTCAGAAACCCCGATGGTTGAGTTCACACCACCAACCAAGACATACAGGTAGTCCTCAACTTACGGCTGCAACTGAGCCCAGAATTTCTGTTCCTAAGCAAAACTTAAGTTGAGTTTGGCTCAATTTTACGCCCTTTCTTGCCACAGTGCTAAGTGAATCACTGCAGTTGTTTAATAGTCACGTGATGGTTAAGTGAATTGGGCTGACCCACTGACTTTGTCAAAAGGACATAAAAGGGGATCCCATGACTCTGGGACACCGCGACTGTCGTAACTATGAGTCAGTTGGCAAGTGTCTCAATTCTGATCACGCAACCAGGGGGATGCTGCAACGGTCGTAGGTGTGAAAAACGGTCCAAAGTCATTTTTTTCATTGCCATCGTAATTTCAAACGATCACTAAACGAATGGTCGTAAGTCAAGGACTACCTGTAGTCAAAACCCTTTGAAAGGACCTAGAATGATGGCCGGCGATTTGCACGTCAATCAGAATAGAGCTGGAAGGGACCTTGGAGGTCTTCTAGTCCACCCCCTGCTCAAGCAGGAGACCCTATATGCCATCCTAGACTAGTGACTGTCCGGTCTCTTCTTAAAAACTTCCAGTATTGGAGCATTTACAACTTCTGGAGGCAAGCAGTTCCACCGGTTAATTTTCCTCATTGCTAAGAAGTTTCTCCTTAATTCCAGGTCGCTTCTCTCCTTGGATTAGTCTCCATCCATTGCTTCTTGTCCGATGGCCCCACGGCCGATTTGAGGGGAACGCTTTCTCTAAACAGATCCTTCCTTGCTCTCAAGGGTGCATGTGCCACCCTCATCTCCAGTCTCCAGTCATCACACCCAATCCTATATTTGTACATGCTCCGAGACATAGAAGCACCACCCGCCTTCTATATTCTCCACCGTCACTATGGCAGCCGGGCGACTGTTGCTTCCCAACCGGTTTGGGGTGACAAGGATGAGTTTTCCTCCCTACCTCGCACAGATGCTCCTTTCTTTTAATACTTCCCTGATCTGCTACTGAGTAGGTGGCTGCAACGCTTCCCTACACATCCCACTCTATCGCCAGCTTGGGTTGGGAACTAAAAATGGGACATTTCGCTGCCATTCCAGTACTAGACTCCACGGCATCGATTATAATTTCTTACTCTTTTACAGAGCCCACCAAATTGTCTGAGACGGTGCGAAGAGCAGCCTTCCAAAGTAGGACTCAGCACCCCGTGCCTGGGCTTACACACAGCTTCAAGTAAAGTTATCCTTCATGGATAATTAGCATGCCTCTCCCCTTCCTTCTTTGTGGCCTGGCTAAACATCAGACAACCAGGGACTGAACTGTAGCCAAACAGCATGTCTGCAGGTGTGTTTCTGACCACAGCACGGAAGCTGATTGCAAAGCGCCTTTTTGTGGGATGCTGTTCGACGTCCTCATCTGTTCTCGCCTTTCCTGTACGGCAACGTTCATAAGGATCCCAGGGCTTCCAAGGGACCTCGGAGGCCTTCTAGCCCAACCCCGTGTCCCAGGACAGGCGTCCTTTTTTTAAATTCCATCCTGGGCAAGTGGTGATCTAATCTTTTTATGGAAAGAACAATAGCATTCAGGCTTCCATACCACCCCATAGCGCTTGAGAGCACTCCACCTGGGTGGTTTACATTACAAAGTCGGCGTTATTTGCATACATTTTACCAACCAAGGAAGAAAAACCATTCCCCAGACGTGATCCAGCCTAGATCTTTTGAGATCAAGGAAGCCGAACCCGATGCAGACGTGGGAGGCATTTATTATTTCGAATTCCCGATTACTTCTGGCCCTAGAGAAACTTTATGGCAATCCAACCCTTCATTCTAAACCCCTTTTGGGGGTGTCTTTAAGTGTCTCACCTCTGCATCCCAAACTCTCAGCACACACACACACACAC